CCCCCCCACCCCCCCCCCCTTCCTTTACTGTTGTTTCGTTTGAAACGCCGTTACCTTTCTCGCTATCATTTTCGTTTTGTGATCTGTATGGAACCACAAAGTTGCAGTCTGAACACTCTGAAACATCCAAGAAAATGCTGTCTATTGTCCTGTTGATCTCTTTCTTTTTTATTTTTTAATGGGAAACCGGTGTCGTATGATGCAGGCATTCCGGGCAGGTTCATACGACGACTGCTTTGAATTATCAAGGTCCCGATGCTGAGTTTGTTTGGTGTCTTCTCTCAATATGTTTGGGACCAACCGATCTTGTATGTATGCCACCAAACATAACGAGAAAGGTACGTAAGCACACATGCACTTGCCCTTACGTGTTGACTTTTAGACTCTCCAACCGATCAATAGGTGTGCAAGGGCATGTGTGTATGTGGATCAGTATAAGTTTGATGGGCCTAATTGACGACTGGCAGTGGGGAGGTGTTGGAAGCAGCCTTCGACTGTAAAGAGTGCAACTGACGACCAGTACCTACCGCAGTTTTCGTAACCCCCGGGGGGTCAAATGAATATGGACCCGAGGGGCAGACCGATTCGGCTACCGCGTTAACGGCAACGGCCAAACCAACGGGTAGGTACTGGTGGTTTGACAAGTCTTGTACTGTATGAATGAAACAATCAATCTGCTTGGCAGTTGCTGTTCGCCGGGCCAGTTGTTGTAAGGAGCGTCGCCGTGGGAGCCACAATGCCGGGCGTGCATCTTGGAGGATTTCCTGAGAGGCAAAAACGAAAGACGAGACGGAGCAGCACGTGTCAGAAAGACAGTGGACAGCGTGGCACCGTCTCTCTCTCTCTCTCTCTCTCTCTCTCTCTCTCTCTCTCTCTCTCTCTCTCTCTCGCGCGCGCGCTCGCACACACACGGAATCGACGGCACCGGCAGCAGCCCTCTCTCTCTCTCTCTCTCTCTCTCTCTCTCTCTCTCTCTCTCTCTCTCCCCCTCCCTCCCTGCGCGCGCGCCCCCCGCCGTTTCACCCTCTCTCTCTCTCTCTCTCTCTCTCTCTCTCTCTCTCTCTCTCTCTCTCTCTCTCTCTCTCTCTCTCTCTGTCTCTGTGTGTGTGTGTGTGTGTGTGTGTGTGAGAGAGAGAGAGAGAGAGAAACGGGAAAAGAAGCTGAAATTAATACAAGTGAATGTTCTTTTTTAATTTTTTTAAGGGGTCGGAGGTGTGGGCTGGAGGTGTGGGCTGGAAGTGTGGACTGGAGGTGTGGGCTGGAGGGTAGGTAGATCCGGACACTCGCTTGATTCAGCAGTGTCGACGAAGCCTCCAACTGTTACATGCTGTACAGGCCCCAACCTGTTTCCCTACAGGGAAACTTCCAGGCTCTTGCCTGGAAGCTTCCTTCTGACAGGGCCTACAGGCCCCAGCCTGTTTCCCTACAGGGAAACTTCCAGGCTCTTGCCTGGAAGCTTCCGCAGGGTCTAGGCCAGGGAGGCATTGGCAAGAGCGGCCTCCTATGCATAGGGCATTGGCACGGCCAGCCTCCGGCACGGGCCAGCACTATAAAGGACTGGCCCGCCCCGCAAGAAAAAGAGCAGTTCGGCAGTTGTACTCTTCAGGATTCGGGAGCAGCACTCTGGAGGGAGCGCTGCGTTAGAGTAGTAGTAGCGTTATCTTGTAGTCTTCAGCGCTGGGCACCATAGCTAGGATAGTGGTAGAGAGAGAGAGAGAGAGCTTGGGCAGAGGCCAGGAGTACCTACCTGCAGCGCCGTTGCTCCAGCTTCGTCTTCGAGTTACCTGCAGCACAGCGCCACATCACAGGTTAGTACCTGGTTCGTAACAGTGAGAGAGAGAGGGTTCTTCTTCCTCTTCTTCTCAGTCCACCATCTCCTCCTCTCCCTCTCAACCCCTGACTTCACTGCATTTGCAGACTGCGAGAGAAGAGATACCGGGGTTGGTGATATCGGATCCAGACTCGACTTTTGGGGACTTCAGACATGGCAACGAGGGGTTATTTGGGACTGGTGACCAAGACTTGGTGTTAACGACACTCCCATCTCTCCCCCCCTCCTYTCGTCTGGTCCTTACCTCTTCGTCTGTGTATGTCTGGACCTGGCGCTTTCTCCCTGTGTGCAGCGCCAGGCTCCTTCACACCTGGTGAGGGATACGATGCATGTTTAGTCTGAGTTCAAACATTGATTGGGCTCGTGATTGGTATTCTAGCATTCTGCTTCGCTACTTGTACTACGTGTGTGAGGTCAGTCCTTGTCAGGTCAGTCTTTGTATCTAAGTCTTCCCTGCGCTGTTCAGCACTTTTGTATGTATGAGAATGCACATTGTCTGTCGAGATTCTACTCTCACCGCATTGTCCATTTCAGTCCTTTTTATCACACTGCAGTTCCTCGGTTATTACGAACATCACATATCTGTGCATGTAACAACCGACATTGAAGTTCACGAAAGTAGCCAAACGCTCAAGCCCGAGCATCAGGCAGCCAATTCCACGAAGCACGGCGTCCATTCAAGTTGCACCAAGTCCACAAGCACGGACAACCGATCCACGATGCCCGATGGCAAATTAAAGTTGCACCGGATCAAGCTGCACCGAAGCACAAAGCATGAACCACCAATTCACGAAGCACGAAGCACAGATCCATGAACCACAAAACATAAATTCACGCAGCACGAGCCACCAATCCACAAACCACGAACCACCAATTCACGAAGCACCAAGCACCAATTCACGGCTCCAATTCACGAAGAATGAAGCACCGAGTTCACATAAGCACAAATTCCCGAAGCATGCACCACCAAGTTCGCATAGTGCGCAGCAGAGCGAGGAGAGAGAGAGAGATAAAGAGGACGTAAGACGCGGCTCGAAGCACGCCCCACCAATTTATGAAGCACCTAGCACGAAGCACCGAGTTCACGAAGCACCGAATACACAAAAGCATGAAGCACCAAGTTCACGTAGCACCAAGCACCAAGTTCACAAAGCACAAAGCACCGAGTTCATGTAGCACCAACCACCGAGTTCCCGTTGCACCACGCAGCAATCACCAAGTTCATGTATCACCAAGAACCAAGTCACAGAGCACTTACCACCGAGTTCGGAAAGCACAAAGCACCGAGTACACATACCACCAAGCCCCAAGCACCAAGTTCACATAGCACAAAAGGCTCACAGGTTCACGTAGCGCACAGAGAGAGAGAGAGAGAGAGAGAGAGAGAGAGAGAGAGAGAGTGAGAGTGAGAGAGAGAGAGAGAGAGAAGGAGCGCTACAGTAGCAGACGGCGCAGTATGGTCCGCCAGGGCAGGCAGGTAGGTCGCAGGGCGTTCGGGTAGGTCGCTGGCAGGTAGCCCAACTGATGTACGGCCCGCCCACAGAAACCCCGAAAAAGAATTAAATGAAAACAGGTCAGAAAAGCTGGGCGGTCGGTAGACACCAAGGGCCTCGCTCACTACTTTCCACATGTTCCAGCACAGGATTCAGTCTCGTTAGCTGGAGCCGGGCGGGTACTGAGCAGGTGTTGGACGGTGCACTGGTACCGGCTGCGGAAAACAAACAGCTGAAAAATGTAGCAATGTATCTTTCCATGTTCGAGCGGAGGATTCAGTCTCTTTGGCACATTTGGAGAGTAGTGCAGCAAGGCCCGAAGCGCCGATACTGGGCGAGCATTTGACGGTGGGCCTTTACCGGCTGCGGGAAACTTTTTCTCATCGGGGAGAAAAGGTACCGTTCGCGTGAACGGCCCAGATTCCAGGCCCATCACTATTGCGGATGGGGAACTTTTTCTCATCGGGGAGAGATCAGCGCCGTCTGCAAGAGGGACTGGCCTGGAATATAGGCCGTTCCTTGTGTCCACTAGCGGTTTCTTTCTTTTTTCCTCTTTCTTTCTTTAAATATATACTATATTAAGGCCTGAGCAGGTCTGCAAGGGGGGATGATAAGAGCAGCCCTCCGTAGTAGGCCAGCTGGTGGTCGCTCCGTCTATTGGTGGGGAGCATCACCTGCTGGAAATCGGGTCCAGCGTCCCTTGAATACATGAGTACATGAGCATATGCGTTGAGCGTTGTTGACGTCGTAGCGGTTTCTATAGTATTGTAGACGTAGATAGATGCCAACCATTCATTCAGCCAACATGCGCTCAATGCTTTAGACTATGTTCTTCAGCTTTTTTTTGTTTCCCAAAAACACAAGTTTATGGTTCCGGCTTCTTGTCCATTCTGGGGAGCATCAGTCTGGTTCCTATTCCACCGGCGGCAAGTCCAACTTCATCACGTTTTTTTTTTTTTTTTTCAATTTCTTCACCTTTCTTCATTCCTTTTTTTTTTTTTTTAATTGGACTATTTCTCGATTTATGGGTGTCATCCTTGCGCTGAGGCCATGCACATTAACCTTCATTCTCTGTGCCGTTCCAATTTTTTTTAACGGATGTCCCGAAGGACTCCTTCCTTCTTTCCTGAGCTAGTGACTTTCTTGATATTTCTTCCCATTCTCAACTCTAAGTTTGTGGACAAAGTAAAGAGAGAAACAAACTATCCCAAGCATGCCATCAATCCATTTGACCAGCTGTGTCTCACCACTTGTAAATACTAAATAGCAAAAAAATTGTCTAAATATCTAAAACCCTAATTGCCAGCTGCATTCACAGCACTGCCATTTATTGCATTTATTACAGAGGCTGCCAGACACAGGAAGTTACACATACAATCGACTCTCGATCAAACACACAACACACAGCCTGGGCAATGAAAGGAGGCCACTCACCTTACCATCATTGGAGAGAGAGAGAGAGAGAGAGAGAGAGAGAGAGAGAGAGAGAGAGAGAGAGAGAGAGAGAGAGAGAGAGAGAGAGAGAGAGAGANAGAGAGAGAGAGAGAGAGAGAGAGAGAGAGAGAGAGAGAGAGAGAGAACAAAGAGAGAGAGAGGGGGAGAGAGAGAGAGAACAAAGAGAGAGAGAGAGAGAACAAAGAGAGAGAGAGAGAGAGAGAGAGAGAGAGAGGGAATCCTCAATGGCAGTCGATTGATTCATGACATGTGGACCGGATCTTTCTTCTACACACCTCCGCCCTGCACGCCCATTGTGGTCGATGTCTATACCATGCGACTTTCGCATTAGCCAACCGTAATCTCTCGAGGACAAACCCATTCTCTTATCAGCATGTAATACAATTACAGAGGGCACATGAACTCCGGACTGCCGCCAACCAGTAGGGCCATAGCCATCACAAAGGGGTCGTCACGCAGCGGTCACTAACGACAAGGACCCTGGGGCATCAAAGGGACCTCTGCTTGAAAACGACCCCTTCCCCGATCCTCCTGTGGATGCAAGACCCGCACCCCCTCCAAGTCCAGCTGTTGCAGCTATAACTGCCTTGCGAGCCGCCCTTGTGGCTCTTGCAGTCCGAACGGCTGCCACCAAAGCGTCGCCGGTCGGGCCAAGCCCTCTCCTCCCCACCAGTTTCACTCCATACCTCTCTGTCAGTATATGGAGTCTGACATTATCTCCACCTTTGACTTCTCTCAGCTCTATCGCTTGCCACCTGAGAATCACAGAATACAAGTGCAGCTGTAGCAACTGCTCTTCCTGCGCATTCGCAGCTCCCCCTCCGCCGTTCACACCTTTCATAGGATCTCCTCCTCTAACCACCACACGAATAAGTGCACTGGAGTCGGCTGCCATACTGCGCGGATCGAATATCACTCCAAAGCATCCAAACTCCACATCCGGTTGCTCAAACAGATCACAGAGCGTCGATGCAAACGACTGGACATCGGAAGGGACTCGCTCTTCTGCTTCAGCCGGCGCTGAAGATGCGAAGGCGGTGTTCGCTATGTTTCCCGCCTCACGCAGACCGCTGAGGAAAGCGCCATGCATGGTAGCAGGATACCGCCGTATCGTCGCCTCGCCAGCAAAGAACAAGCAGTCATCCACGCTCTCCGCCAAGATGTCGTAATCCTCCCCAGACGCACCAACGGCCACATGCGAATAGGAACCCAGACAAAGCGGATCGCTTCCCCATCGGGTGCAAACCGTTTGCAGCGGATAAGGCACCTTTATGCCTTTCGGCCCGAATATCTTCCTAAGAACTTCCATCAGGCGGGTGACGGACTCTTGAGCAGGCATTTGCTCAAAACGGACGGCCGCCGCACCCGCCACCAGGGCGAGGAGGAGGCTTCCTCCTGAGACAGGTGCATAGCTGTAGAAGAGAAAGAACTCCCCGCGCTGATCCGGGTCCTCAACCAGATGACCAAATGTGTCCAGATCTTCATCCCAAAAGGTGTAAGGGAACAACATGACCACTTTGTTGAGCAGTCCAAAACCCAGTTTGTTAATGGCCTCCAGCTTTCGCTGAGGGAGTTCTGGATCGAACTTGATGGAACGCTTCTTCAGTACACCAAGGGGTATAGTGCACAGTACCATGTCGCCCTCAAACACCCGTGGCTCATCTCCGCCCACCGGCCGACAGGTGACCTTCACGCCCTCTTTGCCATACTTCACATTCTGCACCACACTGTTGTAGAAGATCGGGAGGCTCTCTGCCAGGGCCGAGACAAGCCGCACGTTCCCACCCGGCACGAAACAGTGGTCGCCGCTCATCTCATAAGGGTCATCCTGGTCCCAAAAGGCCAGCGAAAGCTCTGACAAGAGTCCTGCGTTCGCATACTCGAGATTGGCCAGGTGCCACTCGAAGAGCTGTTTCTCTTCCGGCGTCTTCCCGATTTTGTAATCGTCTCGCAGCAACTCGAGGGTGGTCCCGAGGGACACACACTGCGCTGCCATAGATTCCATCCTCTCCCTCCATCTGTTTGCAACATCTAACAGTCGATTAAACTGGTTCTCCACTTTGACATCGAGCTCTTCATCCACTGGACGGCCGTCCGGCTGAAACAGAGGGCAATTGTCTCGTATCTTGTGCAGGTCAAACCCCAGCTGCCGTGCAAGGACGCCCAGAGGATTTCCCTGAATTCCTGTGAGGACGCTCCCACCCAGATCCGCCATGGCCACTCGCCCTGAGCCTTCGACTCTCTTCGTGTACACACGCCCACCCGGCCGTTGCCTCGCTTCAACAACCACCACTTGCAGACCAAACGAAAGGAGCTGTCTCGCAGCAGCCAGCCCTGCTAAGCCGGCTCCCAAAACCACCACCGACTTCTTGATACCGAGCGGAGGTACGGGTCTCTGATTGAGTGCCTGCGCAACACCAAAGTTGATGTACCCTTTCATCCGCAGGAACTTGTAAGTGGCAGGGACGAGGCTATGGTGCTGAGCAGGCAAGGTTTTCAAGACTTCATCCTCTGTCAGAAACCTGGTCACATCATCCCTCCACCTTGCGAGTATGTGGTTCCTTACAGAAATATACGCCAACTGCTCAGAGTCGTGAAGTGTAGAGATCATGCCCGCTTCTATCTCCTCTTCCATCAAGGAGTCGACAGGGAACCCCATCGACACAGCGACCACGCCATCCCTGCCCATCTGCTTTACAGCCCCGTTCCGCCTCTTCACTCCGCCTTTCGATTGTGCCGTCAACCCAGATCCCGTGCCAGCGTAACCAACATTCTCCACCGCTTCGCTGTCTTGATGTGACTCTCCTGAACTCGATCGGGACTGCCCCTGCCTTCCCTTCCCACCAGACCGCTTCCTCTTCCCTCCTCCATCCAATCCCCCTCCCGAAACATCTTTACCCCGGCTCCGTTGACCCCGCCTTTCATCGCAGCTGCTGACCGACCTGCTGCTTACGCTCCCATTTGTGTCCTTGCCATCTTTGACATTATGCTTTTCTTCCCTTTCTCCTGACTTCTTTCCTGAGTTCGTCCTCAAACCAGATCGTCCTCCCTCACTTTCACCACCCTGCTCTGCACCACTTCTCCCCGCCTCCGTACCCCCCGACCTCCCACCCTCTGTTCCACCTCGTTCCATGTTCTCCTTCTCCAGGTTCGCCGCATTCCGTGGCGAGTTTGCACGAGGGGAGTACCTCCCTCCTCTCTTTCCAGGAACCCCCCTTCTGGTCTCCTTGTGCCCCTTCCTCCTCACACATGCCTCCACAAACACCACCTCGTCATCACTATCATGCTGACTCTCATCTTCACTGTCGTCCAGGTACACAATCTCATTCTCTGGTGTCAACGGCAACCCATTGTTCGACTTCCTCCGTTTCGCTCTCGACTCGTCATGCTTGTCGACCTTCACCTCCGCATCTGTGACTGGAGGCGGAGCGGAAGCAGCCACGTCTCCATCCGCTTGCATGGGGACCGCAGCAGCAGCAGCAGCAGCAGCAGCCACAATGGAAGCAACCGCAACCACAGTATCTGCTACAGGTGGAGGCGCAGATGCAGCCAAAGCATGTGCAGCACTCCGGGCTGCAGAGGCCGCCTGAGGATCCGAAATCAGAGCAACAGAGCCAGCTGCATCGCGCGTGTGCGAAGGTGTCGTGCAAGCTCCAGCCAAATCACCTGTGCTTCGAGGCCCAGGCACCACGGCGACGTTTGCGAGTGACGGCGCGGCAAGGGCCACAACATCCAGTAGAGAAGGTCCGCTGGCAGGTGGGGAGGCAGCAGGGTCCACACCATCCGCGCCTGGACCAGCGGTGTCAGCTGCGGTAGCTGCGCTCACGCTGGTCGGTGCAGGGGAACTGGCAGGATCAGTGCTTAGACGGGCTGCGGCAGCTACAGCTTTGAGTGGAGTTGACAAAGTAGAGTCATCCACAGCCATGGCTGTGGAGGAAGGTTCTACATCCATGGAAGTCGTAAAAACACCCAAGGGAAGATCACCACCCACAGACCCAGCGGCAGGAACCACAACTGCAGGCCTTTCAGCTCCAGTGGCAGTCCCCACATAGCCACTGGTGGTGCATCCAGCATTCTCAGCAGCAGGAGCAGCAACAGAGCAGCTGCGGAGCGAAAGGGGCGGCACCCCCCGGCTGTTGACAGACGCTGTTTCAGGATAAGAATTGATCGTCAGATTGACACGGTCAGTAGGGAGAAATGCAACAGGTTCCACAGCAGCAGTAGGAACAGAGGGACCTGTACTGCCGCCAACCATTTCCATGGAGGGCTGAGGACTACCAGATCCAACAACAGCACCCGTAGAAGCAACGGCACGTGCATCTCCTCCTGCAGCCAAGGTTCCCATTAGTCCGGGTTCAGAACCGGCGGCGGCCGCAGCCGCAGAGCCATTCTCGCAGCCGGCCATCGCCAGGCAAGACACCTTGCCACCACCACCTTCTGCGGCTTGCCGGTTCCACCGATACCTCTCTGAGGGCTCACCTCCTGACCACCATTGATTTTTTCTTTGGCCGGTCTGCAAGGAACGATTATCCAAAAAAAGAAGAAAAACGTAAAAAAAAAAAAAAAGGTAACGGTCCTGTCAGATTGTTAGCAGGGCCAGCAGCAATGCAAAAAGCCACTATGACCCCTCACCCGGCCATCATCAGAAAAAAAAAAAAAAAAGGCCATCATCAGAAAAAAAAAAAAAAAAAACTATGTCAATGCACAAGCAAAACACGTCCCTTCAGCAACAGAACACTAGTTAAAAATCCAAAAAAAAAAGACACACAGAATGTTGCCTCCACAGGAGAATACCGGACTGAACACCACTTAAGAAAACCAAAAAGGAAAAAAGGAGCAAAACGTTGGCTCCACAGAAGAACACCGTACTCACCACATCTTCAGGAAGAACAGCCGGGAGAAAAGAGGAGAAGAAGAAGAGGAAAGAAAAATAAGGGAAAAAGGGCTAGACATCACGTTCCTTCGGTACAAACACCTATTCCCAAATATAGCTGATCACCGAAAAATAGCACCTGCTACGCACTATTTTACTCCCCCTCTGGCTTCCTCTCAAAGCAAATTTCCTGATCCGCCGTTCGCTCCATTTCGTCTGTCCGTGGCCTTCCGCTCAAAACTGAAACCACCTCACCGATCAAGGTGTCAGCAAGATACCGCAAGTCGAATCCACCTGCATGCCCAACGCCAGGTGCGTTGTGTCTGTCCGTTTTACGTCAGATAGATGTAGTTAGATGACTTCGCGTCTTTTCAATTTCACGTCTTTTCAAATCTTTTGAGAATGACGAACCAGTTGCATAATAAGCAGCTCCGCCCACACCTGTCAACCAAGAGCAACCCACAAGGAAGTCATAATTAAATAAATTATTAAGTAATAATTAATAATTATTGAAAAACAGTGGCAGCGCATCCATCGTTATCATGATTGAACAGCAGCAATGTGTGGCACCCATGAACTGTTGAAATACAGACCCAAGTTCGAATCCAGATGATGAATGACAAAATATCTTCTGAATTACCTGGGGCCAGTCAGTTCAACGATGATATCTCAAGGCTATCGCCCTTGGGGGGGAAAAAAACGCAAAGTGTGGCAGCGTGTGGCAGCGTGTGGCAGCGTGTGGCAGCGTGTGGCACTGCCACATGTATACATAAACTAGACCTAAGCAAACTTTTTGGATGCCAGCATCTCCCATGGTATTATTATTGTTCATTGATATTCATGATAGTACTAATAATAAATAGCAAATACTAAATACTCATAAGTGGCAATGAATAGTAAATTAGTAATACACACTAATAATAGAATTGATAGGAATGACGGTAAAATAAAATACTGATTCATACTCAGTGACAACAAGTAGAATAAACTGAAATGGAAAACTGATTGAATGCCCCTAAGAGTCCAGGTATTTCGTCAGGTACCCCTAAAGCACAGGGGTATGGCGAAATCCCCCTAAATTCTGTATATGCACCTGTCCCACCCATGGGCAAATTTCCTATATAGGCCTGACCGTGGAGTTCGGGGCCTGCACATTTCTTTAGCCTCTAGAACTTTTCCAACATGGGATCAACGGCCAGAAGTGGGGGGCATATGGAGAAGTTGTACAGGGTCCATCCAATCCGCGAGTGGGGTACTTCACAAAGTTTCACAACAGTGAGGAGGGCATATCGCCGTACCCCTGTGTTTCAGGGGTATCTGAGGAAATCATCCCAACTTTTAGGGGCATCTCAACAATTTCCCCTAAACTAAAATATTCTTTGACATTGAGTTATTACGGATAGTGATGCAATATTTTCTGATGCAAATAATAAAGACAAGGGAATGCTCGCCGCGGCGCACACCTGCTCTGCTCCTCCTCCTCCTGGCCACCACCGCCACCCCCCCCCCTTCTTCCCAACCAAAAAGAAAACATCAAACTTCAGCACAACTCAGACCTTGGCATGGCCACATGGTACTATGCCGGCAGGGTGATATCGTGTGGCGTGGGTGACACTATTGTGGGCCGGGCAGTATCATGTGGACCGTGCGGCTCGTTGCGGGGTGGATCATTCTATGCAGACTGGATTGTACTAATACACAGCGACAGAGAATAAAACAACACACACACACAGTGACAAACACACACACACACACACACACACACACACACACACACACACATTCTGGACGATGTGGTGAGTCCTCATCCATCAGTCAACTCCATTCTGGGCAGACTGTCGGGGTTAAACCTCCTGATGAGTCAGTGAAAGCCCGACGAAACAATCTGGCACAGTCATGCTTTTCTTTATTGTATAGCGAATGTGACAACACACACACACACACACACACACACACACACACACCACTCAGGCATGACTCCATGCGGGATTATATGGTCTGTGTGACACTACGTGGGTTGGATGGTACCATCGGACCCGGTGGCACTGTGTGGGGAAGGCCATACTGTGTGGCGTGCATGGTACTAACACACACACTCGCACCCAGAAAACGAAAAACAAGAGCACAGACATGTCCATGGAACAAAGAAAAAGAGACACATGGCCAACATCAGGCACAGTTCTCTCTCTCTCTCTCTCTCTCTCTCTCTCTCTCTCTCTCTCCCCTTCCCCCAACCTTTTTCCTCGCGGCCCACACCCCCAAGCAATGACCGCTTCGCCCATAGACAGGTGAAAATATAACCTGCCTATCAATGGCAATGTTGAATTGAAGTCAATGAAATCCTCCGACATTCAGCTTAAGAAAAACAGAGGCAAAGGAAAAGAAAAACAAGAGAGGGCCCCCCCATAAAAAAGAGGACGAGAGAACGGATCAGACACAGTGAACAACGACAACGCGTCTTTTGTCGCTGTTCAGTGTTTCTAATCCGTTCTCTCGTCCTCTTCTTTTTTTTCTCTCAGCATGGCTAAGGCAAGAATTTTGCCCCAAAAATTATAAAGGACAATAATAGAAGTCCTCTCCTCCTCGCCCTTCTGGCCAACCTATTATTAGCGAAGAAAACAGGACCAATTCTCACTAAATTTCCAAGCCAACCCAACCCTAGTCTAAAATTCCTTCCAACAATCTTGATTTCCAATCTAGAAATTCTAAAACTGCAAACCATCTTACTTATCTTTCCCGAGGAAAATGTACTAACATTTTTTACTTTGTTTTTTGAATGTACTAACATGTTACCGTCCCTTCCTTCCCCTTTTCGAGCTTTTCGAGCTCTCGTCAGTCATTCCCTTCTTCTTTTTTTTCTTTTTTTTCCAGTTCCTTTTCCTAAAAGAACCAAAGATAGGCTAAGGAAGCGTTCGGACCATCGTTCGTGGCCCTAAAAGATCAACGACACTCGTACACCAAGGAAACCAGGCAACAACCCACATTCAATCAATTAACAAACTACCCCTCTCATCTCATTATCGCGCACTCAAACAATCAATCAATCAATTAATCAATCAATTAATCAATCAATCAATCAATCAATCAATCAATCAATCAATCGCTGACCCTCCGCGTTCTCACTCACCAATCAAACCCCCGATCTACCGGTAGCTGTGACTGCTTGCTTGCACGCTCCGACTGGTTACGCCTCGACTACCTTCTTCCCCCGAATACAACGTACGGTCATTACAGCTGTATCTAGACTGAACGATGCCTCAAAAATACAGCTATAATGACCGTCCGTTGTATTTGCGGGAAGAAGGTAGTTACCCTGCGACTGCTTACGATTACACTCTTACGATACCCTGCCAACACTGTCGGGGGGCACATCACAAAACAACGAGCTCTGTCCTCGTATTTCCTTGCCCCCTTTCGAGCACCCATTTTCCTCCCCCCGTCACTCTGACAGGGGGACGCTAGAGCTCCCATTATCTCCAAATCGAAGGCACCAAAGGACCCCTCATATTGCAAATACCGGAGTCCAATACTCCCTCTCCCTTGCCTTTCCCCTACTTCTCCCCTCCCCTTCGTTCTACTGGTGACTAAACAGAGACTTTCCCTAATTCCACCCCTCTCTCACCTGATCGCCATAACAATTCGTCGACATCGTTAGGAAATCCATTCATCTCGTTATAGAAAAATACCATCATCGATGTTATCATTTCAGGATAATTTTCATCCATATTCTCTATAAATCCTCGAGCTGCTGACAGTCCCATCCATTCATCACCAATCCATGCATACATCCAGATTCTCTATCATTTTTAGTGACGCCACATCACCAAATCTAAGTTATCAACTGCCTTCATCTCGTCTCTTTTCCTCTTTCCGTGTTTTCGAATCAGAAAAGATACGGTTCGCATCAAAAGCCATCCATAACCCATCGATCACCAATCTCTCTCTCTCTCTCTCTCTCTCTCTCTCTCTCTCTCTCTCTCTCTCTCTCTCTCTCTCTGGGTGTGTGTGTGTGTGTGTGTGTGTTGTCATATTCGCTATACA